CTCTTGTGTTTTCCATATTAAACTTGTTCTGCTGGGAACTTTTATTTGACAGTGAAAAAAATCCCACAAATAGAAAACATAATGAAAATAAATTATTGACTCCATTGTGTGGCTTAAAGCTACCACAAGCGCATAACAAACACTCATTATGAAATAACATTTAACTATGGGAAAAAGTCTATAATATGAAGTAGATATGGATGCTGAGTAATTTATAAAATGTGGTAAAACTGACAATTTGGAATTAAAATTATATGACTTTACATATGTGATTAAAAATTATTATAACAAAATCTCAAGGAAAATTGCAAAAGACAGATTAATGTGAAATTTTGAAAATTGATTTTGGGGGGTGGGGAGAGAGAGAAACAACAATGTGAGAGACACATCAATTGATTGCCCCCCCGTACATTCCCTGACCAGGGATTGAACCCGTAACCCAGGTATGTGCCCTGACCAGGAATCAAACTTGCAACCTTCTGGTGCACTAGACCTTGGGTCCAACCGACTGAGCCATACTAGCCAGGGCTTATATGTTATGGCATTGTACACACCTGTGTATAAAAGAAAACAATTTGTTGTGCAGGTGAAGCATTTTCATGAATGTGCAGGCCTGTCTTAGGGTTAATGTGGGACAATTCCAGGTTTTGCAGTTTAGTGGTAAACAAACAGCATGGTTTGAATCCATCAAAATTGTTTATTATTAAGAAAACCCAAAACAGGAGTTCTTCTGGTTTCTTAGTCATACTATACTGATTTATCTTAAAACTATTTTCTTGACAAATTCTAAAATTGAAAACTTGCCTCAGAATTGAGATCAGATCGCTGTTGCCTAACTGTGGAGGCAATCTGGGTTTCTATTAGTTATGTATTGCTTCATAACAAATTATCCCAGTATCCACTGGCTTAAAGAAACAAACAGACATTTATTATCTCACTGTATCTGCGATTCAGGAATTTGGGAATGGTTTAGCTGGCGGCTTTTGCTCAGGATCTCTCTCGGGAGTTGCTGTCAAGATGTTAGCTGACTTAGACTGGCCAGAGCAATCTATTTCTGAAAGGAAAAACAGCTTGGGAAACCACAGTAATATCGGGTTTCACAGGAAGCAGAGAGTCAAATGGAAGTGGCTGGATTGACCCATCGCTATTTTTATCCCATCACAGCAGCCCCCTGCTCACTTTTGCTCTGTGGGTCTCTCTGCCAGCGGGCACCGGGCACCGTCAGAGGCCAGGGCTGCTGCTCTGGATGGAACTCAACTCAAGACTCTCACTCTTCTAAACAGCATACGCTTGAAATTCTCCAGGGCTACATCCCCGAAGCCGTGTGGCTCCTGGGGCCCCTACACCTCTGCAGCCTGCCTACCACTTGTCCCTTACAGGGCAGAAAGTGAGATCCATAAACATGCATAACCCCCTCTGAGCCTTTATCAGGCTGCTGTTTGGGTCGGGCAGCTGGGCCCACGGGGTGGGGTGGGGGGCCTGGCAGCTGGCTAGGTTCCCTCCCTCCTGCACACACGGACTAGTCTTCACAAATGGAGGGAAAATCTCTAGTGTTAGTGGCTGCCTCGGTTCCACATAGACCCAACCTCCTTTGTACATTTGTCCTGAAATCAGCCCCTTCCGTGGCTTCCCACACGTGGCAGTTCCGAGTTGGGAATGGCACTTGGGGCGAATGGGCTGTGAGAGGACTGCTAGCTAGACAAGTCCCTCATAGAAGTATTCTCTGTGCATCCCGGGGTCCCACGGGATCCCTCTAGGACACATTCCTGCTGACCCCTGAGCCCAGTGGCGGTGTGCAGCCCCCGTCTTCTTGCTTTGTTTCCTGAGTATGTGTCTTCCTGACTGTGTCCCGAGAGTCAGAATTCACCTTCTTGCACTCCTCTACTGTGAGGAAGGCCCACCAGCTTGAGTTTCTTAGCGGCTTCCATACCCTTTTCCCACAGTGCCCAGTGAGTCTGAACTCCCTGTCCTGTCCTCGCAGAATCTGGGTTCGTTGCCTTCTCTGCTCTTTCTGAGCTCACTCTCATCCAGTGTTTTTCCTGCTATATGGGGCCCGCCTGTTCTTCCTCTGCCTCTGGGACCCAGCTCTCTGGTGCACTCCTGCAGCCTCTCTGGGCAGCCTTCGCCACCACCCTTTGCAGACAGAGTTGGTGCCCAACTGCAGCCCCATGGGAACTGGAGACGTGTCCTCCCCAGAGCCCCTGAACACCCTGATGAGGATGACGTCAGGCTTTTTAGCCTGAACATCCCTGGGTACTCTCATAGGCCACCCCTGAGCCTGGGAAGAAAGCAAGGATATTGCCAACACTGGAGATTTGGGGGGCTTGTGAGGGGCTTGATTAGCTGGTACCTAGACCCACTAGAGGTCCCTTCTAGTGATTTAGTTTTCTAAACTTGGGGACATTTCTCCGAGTTTGCCTTCTCTTTGGCTTCCTCTTGGCTTTTCGAGTACAGCTGTGGCACATTGTCTCATGCCTGATGGCTCTCTGCTCCTGAACCCCAGGGTTGCATTGGCAGTTGCAATGGTGCACAGCAGAGGGCTGCGAGTGCTCTAGAAGACTGGCTCGGTACCCAGGAAACAGTGCTGGAGTTGGACGGAGTTCTAGTCTTCAGTTCTGGCTCGGCCTACCCTGGTCACTCTGGGCCCGGTCACCTTCCTTTGTTGAGCTACCAAATGAGAATTTTGGGCAAGATGACTTCGGGAGCCTCAGATATTTTTTTCCCCTCACCCGAGGATATGTTTTCATTGATTTTTAGAGAGAGGGGAAGGGGGAGAGAGAGAGAGAAACATTGATCGGTTGCCTCCTGTACATGCCCCCTGAGAGGGAATCGAACCGACAACCTAGGTATGCGCCCTGACCGGGAATCAGCCTGCAGCCTTTTGGTGTACTGGACACCGCTCCAACCAACTGAGCCACCCGGCCAGGGCAGCAGCCTCAGACATGTGATGGAATGGGCTGAGGGGGCAGGCCAGAGGGCACAGGCATGGCAGGAGGAAAGGTCTCGCCCTTCATCTTGCCCTTGTCTACGCTCCGAGGACGGGCTGGGATAGGGTGTGCCCTCTACTGGGGCCTGGGGCCTGGGGCCTGGAGCCTGGTCTGCTGAGTTTGTTTCTCTGCTGTAACAGGGTGCGGTGCACGCTGGCCCTTCCTGAAGAGACCTGCTTGGCAGGGCCTGGAGGGGAGCTGCGGGGAGAGATGCGGACTCACCTGACTTCTGAGTCAGTCTTCGCCCCGGGCCCATCCTCTGCTTCAGTTCCACCCCTGGCCTTGCCGGTGCCACTGTCCTAGCCCCTGCGCTGTGAGCTCCCCGAGGAGCTGGCAGGCACTGGGCTGTTCAGACCTTCCCTTCCTCACGCAGGGCTTCGTGCAGGTGCTGGCAGATGTGTGTCACATGGAATTAGTGACCACTGTGTTGGGAGATTTCTCGATCCTGATTTCTGGGAAAGGGCCATTGGTAGGTGATGGGTGTTATCAGCACAGTGGTTCTCATGCCTTTGGAAAGCCAAACATGTTCGGGCCAGAGCTGGCTTTGCACTGGTAACAGTTTCAGAAAAGAAAAAAATGTTGTGTGCTAAACATAGATGCCTTTGAGTTGATGAGGTTCGATCATCTTGGCCCTGCTTGGCTCTGCTTGTCTGTTTCCATCTTCCCTCTCCCACCCCACACTGTATCAGGCACAGGTTTTGTAGGAGGTTTCTCAGAGGGAGTCCCAAAGTGGTAATTGCTCAGCCCTGTAGCTAATAATACCATGGATTCTCCTGGCGCCTTTCATCCAAGGACCTCCTCACCTTCCAGCGTTATCTGATCCCCACACAGCTCAGAGAGTGAGATAACCCCTATAATTAATTAGCTCCACCTCACTGCTGTGGACATTGTGGCTCTGAAAGAGGAGATTAGTTGGTGCTGGAACTAGAACAGGCCTCTTGGGCTTCTGAGATCAGTGACCCGGGAAGGAGAGCAGCAGGGATTTCTGCTGGGTGGAGAGATGAATCAGGGTTTGCTGGAGCCTGGATTGCTTGGGCTTGTAGCTTGAACACCCCAAAGAGCAAGGAGCAAGCACTTGCCAGATCACCGTGGTTGGTGGACTGCTGCAGAGTTATGAGACATGGAGCTTCCTTCCTTTCTGTTCTCTCAACCCTGCTGGCCTTCCTCCAACCAGCAACGAAGCACAAGCCCCAGTCACCATCCCATTTCCATGGGGCATGTCTAGAGATGAAGAGTGGAATGATGAGGGATGTCTCACTGTGCCCCAAGGAATGGTGGGAGGACTTTAGACTTTGGTCTAGAGGAGCAATCCCACACTGCAGAGTGAGATCCAGGCAATGAAAATTACTGAGAGGCCACTTTTGGCTCAGTAAAGATGGAGCATTGAACAATCAGAGCTATCTCAAAAGCAAAAGGGCTCCCATTTCAGGAAGCGAGTTCCTCATCACTGGAGGTGATCAAGCAGAAGCAGATGACTACTAAGACAGGGTTGTTGTGGATGGAGCAGATGGAAGGGCTTTCCGGTTGATGTGTAGGGCTGCCAGAGGCTGGGAGGTTTTGCCTGCCCTCTTTGTCTCCCCAGTGCGTGTCCACTGGGTGGATTGAGTTCAGCAGCTTCTTGAGATTCTAAGGAGAGTCTGTTGGACTGAGAGAAGATTTTTCAACATGTCATTGAAGAGGAATGTGGTCCTCTCTCTCCTCTGCCCATGCAAGAGGGCCACTGGGTGTCTGTGAGGATGTCCTAATGTTTTGTTTTGGGCTACCTTGTAGAGTAATGAGTGCCCCATCCCCAGAGGGGTGTAAGTGTAGGCTAGAGAACCACTGCTGGAGGTGCTGCAGAGGGACTTCTGATGTGAGGAGGCTGTACTAGGTGGCTTCTGAGCTCCCTCCTAACCTGGAGACTGTGAAGTTTTGAATCGCTTCCCATGAACAGAAGAGCATTCCCGTCCCCGTACTCCACTTTTCCCCCAGCAAGGAGACAAGGTGAAGTTGTTTCTGTTTTCATTCCCTTAGGTCAGCTGAAGCTGTCGATTGACGCCCAGGACCGGATGCTGCTGCTCCACAGTGAGTATGGCTGCATGCCAGGTCCACCAGGGAAGGGGCGGGCCGCTCAGCCTCCTGCCTGGAGGTGGTGTTACCATGGGCCAAGGTGTCTTTTCTCATCTTTGTATAGTGTCCTTCCATGTGTCCATTGAAAAAAAGTAGGTATTCACTTGGGACTCTGTCTAGAGACCCTTCCCTGGTATTGCTCCTGATGTGATGGAGTCCACTCAGTGGGCTTTTCTCCCTGGCAGGCTGGGCACCTCCACATCACCCTTGGCCCCTGTGGAGCAGGCCACAGAAGAGCTTCCCTCACCTCCCTCTCAGGCCCTGCCTGTCTCTCCAGCTTCCCTGGCTCTTGCTGCTAAAGGCACCCTCCACTGCCTTTTCTGTCCAGTGATGTGCAATTCCCTGGAATGCATCATGCTCGCTAATGCTCTGTGCCTTTGCACCCTCTGTTCCTTCTGTCTGGAATAGCCTGCCTTCTTTTTGAACTCCTTTTGAAGAATAACTCTGTAGAATTATATCCCTGGAACCTATATAATTTTATTAACCAATGTCACCCCAGTAAATTCAATAAAAAATAAACTTAAAAAAAGAAAGAAAAGTAACTCTCTCTTCCTCTGATTTTGCAAGACCTATGCCTGCCTTCATCGTCATTGAGACTCAGGAAGGAAGGCTCCTTTTCCCTTCCAGGAATCACCTCCTGACCCACCTGCCTGGGCTGAGTTTGTTGCTTCCTCCTCTGTGTCCTCATTACAGCCCTGATTGCACTGTGTCACCTTGGTCAGTCCAGGGTCTGTCTTGCCCCCCAGCATGGGAGTGCATCCCCCTGAGAGCCAGGGAGACCCAGGGCTCATCAGGCCTGGGTCCTGCCCTCATTGACCACACCCTCGAGGGGAAGGGTGCACACAGGAACAGTAACTAGGATACCAGGAAGCACAGACCAGCAGGCGCCTGGGGTCCTGGGGTCTCGGCCTGGGGGGGCCCAAGGTGAAGTTCCCAAGGACCAGCAGAGTGGGGGTTCTTTGCCCGCCAGAGCCTGACTCCAGCTGTGCAAACAGTTTTTGCAAAATGCATGTTGGCCTCCACCGCTCCATTTGTCCTGCATAGTTTGCTTTGGCCTCACCCCAGTCTCAGGCCTTCATCCCGTCCAGCCCGTTCCCCTCTCTCCTTTGGTTTCCCAGGCCTCATGCCTTAGAGTACAGGAGCTTCATCTGAGCCAAACCCCAGGGCTCAATCAAAACCAAACACAGGAGAAAATAGAAAAGAGGCTCAGCTTCTGCCAGGTCTGCTGTCTGACTTCTGCAGTCTTCAGGCAAATGGGCCACACTTGCTTGCTTTCATGACCAGACCTGAAGCCCACCCCCACCTAGCCTTTGCCTTTATTTATTATTCTTTTCTTTTTAAATTATTGATTTGGGGGGGGGAGATTTGTTGTTCCACTTATTTATGCATTCATTGGTTGATTCTTGTATGTGCCCTAACTGGGGATTGAACCTGCAACCTTGGCGTATCTGGACGATGCTCTAACGAACTGAGAGCTTCCTGGCCAGGGCTTATTCTTTTCTTTAACAGACGTTTGTGAGGAGTTACTTACTTGCCAGACATTCTATTAACTACTTTATTTTTATTTATTTATTTTAAACATATCTTTATTGATTTCAGAGAGAGGAAAGGAAGGGGGAGAGAGAGAGAAACATCAATGATGAGAGAGTCACTGATCGGCTGCCTAGCCCGCAACCGGGGCATGTGCCCTGACCTGGAATCGAACCCTGATGGATCCCAGGTCGATGCTCAACCGCTGAGCCACACCCGGCCGGGCTCTGTTAACTACTTTAGACACATTATCTCATTTAAGCAGCACAACTACCCTGTGAAGTGGATATTATTATCACAAACCTATTTAAAAAATGGCAAATTCATTCTCAGAGAGGTGAAGCTGCTTGCTCGGGCTCACATGGCTAGTAAGCAGTTGGGCTGGGCTTCACGCTTGCATCTGCCCCTGGACCCAAGCTTTTGCCTGTTGTGCTCTGCTGTTCATCAGCCACAGCCAGATCGCTGTGCAGAGTAAGTTCTCCGGCCCAGCCTCCATTCCCAGGACGCAGTCTTGTGTGGTAGAAGGAGCACCGGCCTGGGAGTCGAGAGACATGGGTCTGCCATCACATTGCTTTGTGACTTTGGACACGTTTCTTATTGTCTTCCGGCCCCCTCATAGCCTCATATTCCCCATTAAATGAGGGGTTGGGCTCAATGCATTGTAAGAATTAGGGGACCGAGTACACCCTATACTGGCTCGGTGAGGGTACTGCCTGAGGGTGCGAGATGGTGGGAGTGGACTAGACCAGAGAGGGATTAATATCCAATGGTGGTTGTGCACATTAAGGGCCTGGTAATAATCTTTCCCACTCACCCACCCCAACATTTAAATTCTTTGTTTAGTCGTGGAAGGCAAAGGTCTGATGAGCAAAGATCCTGGCATCTGTGATCCCTACGTGAAGGTATATAATGGAGGTCGGGGTGGGGATGGGTGGGATGGGGTGCTGAGGGGTCATGTTACTGAACTGAGCCCCAAGGTCCAGCACATCTGTGGGCCTAGGGCCGTTTGGGGTAACAGTGACTGCCTCATCATTTGGTCAGTGGGCATTTATTTTGCCCAGTGACGAGGCCCTGAGCTGCGATAGACCCCTTCCCTTAGCCTGGCTTGGCGCCTAGGGCTTCCTGCAAGAGTGGGAATCTTCTGGGTGATTGTCATCCACATAGGTGAGCACAGTGAGCATGTGGGTGGTAGAAATTCACAGATAATCCCAAACCCTCTCATGGAAAGCAACATCTTCACCCCTCCCCCTCCTCCCAATCAGAGGTGGGGTAGCCAGGTCTGGGTGGTGGAATGGAGGGAGTGTCTCTGAGGGCTGGTAGATCCACCCGAGGGGGGCCCTTGCGGTGAAGACAGAGGCCCCTGTGGTGGGGGAACTACTTCTAGCCAGAGCCAAAGGCAGGGTACCTCCCGGAGTGTGGCAGCCTCGATGCCAGGGGCAGGGACTGACGCACTTCTCTGCATCCTTCCCCAAGCCCCCAGGCTGGTAGTAAGTCCCAGTGGGTAAGGACTTGGTCAGGAGCAGGGTGGGAGCCTAAGGCAGGCGATGAGCGCAGTGGGGCGAGAGCATGGATTGGGGGCCTTGGCAGAGTAACCTGGAGCCTCTTGTGAAGGGAGCACTCAGCAGCTGCTGGGAACTTAGAAGCAAGGAGGCCTGTGCTTTGGGGGCCACCTCTCTACTTGGAGGAAGAGCAGAGATGGTCAAGGTTGTACCCACCCCATCTCTGCCTGGTCCTGTGGCTGCCTTCTTGGTACCACACACTGCGGGGCCCTGTCCTGGTGTCTGATCCCACCTTCGGCCCGGGCACCTCATTCTTTCCCAGCCTCTGCCTGAGGCCTCCACACCGTCCTCTGCAGAGGCTGGCGGGGGGGCACCTAGGAGGCCTCCGACTGGAGATGTGCAGAGCCAGCCTGTAGGCGTAGGTAACGGCATAGCCACAGGAATCACCTAACGCTTCCTTTTCTCTGATTCAAGATTTCTCTGATCCCCGAGGACCATGGACTGCGCTGTCAGGAGACACAGACCGTGCCCGGCTGCAGAGAGCCCGTCTTCCAGGAGCGCTTCTTCTTGTAAGGGCCTGGGGCGGCGGCCCCCACGGGAGAGGGAAGGAGTGGTGATCTGGACACTGCCCTGTTTGCCAAACCTAGGGCTAGATCTAAGCAGAAAAACAGTGACTTCTAAAGGATGTCTTTGTTTTCTCATTCACTGTGTCCTTGCATCCCTGGCACCTGGCCCGGCCGTGAGGTCCACAGTGATAAGGTCTCACTTGGCTGGACCTCGTAACTTGAATGCCCAGCCTGAGGCTGGCAGCCCCTGGGGAGCAGGCGACTTCCCACTGTGCTGGGCCAAGCTTTCTCCTTTAGTGGAAGGAATTTTCCAAGCTGAGGGGTGTTTGGCCTGAGGGCCTCTTTTTGAAACTTGCTAATGTCTCTGGGCCCTGGCTTCCTTGTTTGTAAAACGGGGCTGAGAGTAGTGCCCACCTGAGAGAGCTGGGGTGGCGGTGAGACAGCAACGCTGAGTGTTGTTGTTATTACTACTTTTTCTTTCCTCCATCCCTGAACTCTGGGGCAACGGGAAGGTAATGGACATTTCAGATTTTCCCATTAGTGCAAATTAATAATATTTTTGTTGTTTTTCAAACCACTCAAGGTAATTTCGCTTATTGTAGAAAAATAGAAATTATAGATAAGCAAAAAGGAGAAAAAAGAAAATCCTCCCAGCCCCGCTATCACTGATATGTCTTGGTTTTTTTCTTTCTAGGTCTTTGAATTTGTGGGTGTGTGTGTGCCCGTGTGTGTCTATAAAAGTGGAATTGTTCTATAATATTGTGTGATAACCTTCCTTTTGTCCTTAACAATGTAATGTAAACTCTCCTGTGTATGTCAGTACTCACTTCCCACACTATTCGTGCCTGAGCTTTTTAACCAGCTCCTTATGGTTGGATGTGTAGGTTATTTCCAGATTATGCAGTTATGTCGGACTCTGGGCCTGTCCTGGAGCTCAGCCCTATGAACACTCTGACCATCTGGTTTGTTTTGCAGTCCTGTCCAAGAAGAAGAGGAACAGAAACGCCTCCTGGTCACTGTGTGCAACAGGGCAGATGACTCCAGGTGAGGGGAACTGCTGAGCTCGAGGAGAGATCCTGCCCTGGGCCTGTGGGTGGCATCCAGGTGGCCAGCACACAGTAGGGGCTCAGTTAGTGGATGAGTGAGTAGCAGTGGCAAAACTAAATGTGCACCCCCCAAGTCCCCGTCACTCCAGGTGATGCCAAGGATAGTGTTATCAAAGAGCATTGGCTGTGCCCTTGGTATCAGCAAGACACTGTGTTGGCCACCGGGGATGCCAGCCAGCCTACATTCTGCTCTCAAGGCACCTACTTTCAGTAAGGGACAGCAGGCACTGCATGGGGACAAATTATAGTAACAGCGCACACAGGCTCAGTCCCACAGGAGCAGAAGCTCCATGAGAAGTGGGCCCATTTCTCTTTTAGTCACCACTGTACCCAGTGCCTGGCACATAGATGTTTAGTGAATGAATAAAAGAATGAAATGAGTAATAGGGCAGTAAACTGGGAAGAGGGAGAGTTCACTGTGGGCTGAGGTGATCAACAAGCCTTCATGCAGAAAGGGGGATTTTGAACTTGGGAAAAGATCAAGAGTAAGACGAGGAGAGGAGCTTAGAAAGGGTATTCCAGGCAGGGGAATGGCATGAACAAAGGCAAGGAGGCAGGAATGTGCCTGGTGGGCTCAGGCTGCCATGACGAGGCCAGTTCAGGAGGTGCAGAGTTTTGTGTAGGAGACTCCAGACAGGCTGATCTTGCAGGCAGCCCAGGACGCAGGAGGCAGCTGTGGTCATGGGTAATAGTGTTTAGTGTAGAGCAGGGCAGGTGTTCTGGGTAGATGAAGGTGAGGGTTAGCTGTGAAGGGGGTGGTGGTGAGAGCACTTGACTGATGGCCATGGCCCACTCCGAGCAGCAGGGGCTCCTTCACCTGGTGCAGCCTAAGAAATCTGGAAACCCTGTGTCCAGGAACATCTGTCACGCAATCATAGAACCAAATGGGAACCAAAAAAGGGTCTAGGTGAGTGAAAATCAGCTCAACTCACCTGCTTAGACCCAGAAAATATGTTTAGGTCGAATGCTTCTTAGTACCTTAAATTTTATAACTAGCATGCTTTTTAAAGTTATGCCTTGTTCAGCCTTCATAATGAAGAATTTGTCTTTTAATAGAGCATCTGTTTTTTGTTTGTTTTTTATCATGGAATGGTGCTTATGGCCCTGTAGGTCTCGTCTCATTCACTGAGCTGCCGTTTCCTGGGTACTAATGTGGCAACATTGTCGTAGGTTCTGGGGACACATGGTCAATCAGAGACCATCCTGCTCTCGAGAGGATCGCTGATAGAGACTTTGGGGTGTGGGTGATGAGGAGGATATCGCCTCGATAATAGGAGCAACCATTTACCGGGTATTGGCCACAAGACAGGGGTTAATAGTGCTTTATCTCATTTAATTCTTAAAACAACTCTTCAAGGAGTATGTTTTTTTCTTAAGTTTTCAGAAGAGGAGACTGAAGCTAAAAAGGATGTCATTTGCCCAAAGCCATACAGCCATTGGACAGTGGAGCCAGGATGGGAACCCAGGCAGTTAGACCCCAGAGTCCTCGCTCTCAACACTGTAATGCCTCCTGGATGCTCAAGTAAAAGGACAGAGGAAAGAGCCAGTAGAGTGTAGAGGGGATGGGGCAGGGCAGGAGTGTGGATGGATCTGTAAACTCATTGGTCTTGCTGGAGGGTCAAGTACAAAGTAGGCCCTGGCTAGAGAGAAGACAAAGTTGGCGAAAGCCCAATCTGATGATTGCACAGGTTTTCTCCCAAGGGCCAGTGGTTCTCAGTCCTGGATATGCATCGGAATCCCCCGGGGTGCTTGTGAGGAGCATAGATTCCCAGGTGCCACACCCGAATCTTCATGGGCAGGTCCTAGGATTCTGCATTTACACAGGTTCTCAGCGTGAACCTCATGCAGCCAGCTTGGTGTTTGGGAATCTGGTGACGGAGATGTACTGAAGGGTGTGGAGCAAGGGAGTGGCGGATGTGTATTCTAGATCTATCATTCTGGTCGATCCTGGGGAGGTTGGGGAGGAACTAGGAGATTCTTGTGGTGATCTGTGAGAGAGATGATTTAGGGACAGAGAGGAGGGAAACAGACCCAGGACATAGTTAGGAGGTAAATCAATAGTCCTTAGTGGTGATTTGGATGAGAGCAGTGGGAGAAGTCAAGGATGACTCCTGGGTATCGGGTGGTGTCCCCAACTAAGTCAGAGAGTCCTGGAGGGGAAGGGAACCAGCTTTGGATATGGTGAGATGGAGGTGCTTGGAGAGCAGCCAGGAGAGAGCTGTGAGTAGGGTCTCCTTTGCTGACCTGGAGCTTGGGGAGAGAGAGGCCTGTGCCCATGTTAGGATGTGAGAGTCATGACCACCAAAGTGGTGGGTGAAATTCTGAGCAGGTCTGATTGCCCCGAAGTGACAGGGACCAAGGGTCAGAATCCTGTCTTGAAGGGAAAGCCCTGAAGGAGCCAGAGGAGAGTGTTGGAGAAACATCTAGCAGTCCTTTGGGTAAAGGCAAGGGGTGGCGCAGGTGCTGGAGGCAGACACCGCACTGGGAGCTGTCATTCCCCTGGTTGTGACCCACCCTCCTGGGCCAGCAGAGCAAGCCCGAGAGCTGCTGGAGAAGTCAGCAGTGCAGTTCACAGTTTTTTGAAAAGAAGGTGAGCCCGGAGAGTGAGTCAGCACCCCTCGAGGCAGCGTGACAGAGGCAGTGAGTGTCTCCACTTGTTGCCTATTTTGGGAAAGTGAGATTCCTTATTAACAAAACACAGTTGAACTTGTGGTCACAGTCCCAACCCAAAGCTCAAGAAGGACAAAGCAGGCTCAGACAGACCTGCTCTCGGAACAGGGAGCCCCGCGAACAAAGCTGCTGGCTCCACGGAGACCGGCTCCGTGGCTCGGTTGGTGGCAGGCGCAGTATTGATCCAGCATCTGAACAAGGAGGCTTCTGAGCTAGAGGAGGCAGACAGAGCGCTTGCAGGAAACTTCTGCCCTGCTCCACGCTCTCAAATCAAATTGTGCTTCTCTGAAGGACAGGCATTCAACTTATCAACATGAAAGACAATTACAGGAGGAAGGAAACAAACATTGATTGAACTCTTCTCTGTGCCAAGCACTTTACATACATTATTTCATTTAATTATCCTCATAAGGACTCTGAGAGGTAGGAATTATTATTGACCCCCTCTTCAGGGAGTAAGAAAGTGAGGCTTATGAAGACCCAGGAACTGAGGATATATAACAGCTTGTATTTATTAAGCACCTAATGTACACTCTTTGTGGACATTAATCTAAGCATATTCCATTGTCTAATTTCATCCTCATAACACCATATAAGGTAGGGATTATTGTTGCTCTTTTACAGGTGAGGAAACAGAGGCACAGAGAGGTTAAGTAACTTGCCTAAGGTAACACAGCTAGGATGTGGTGAAAACAAGATGCAAATCCAGGTGGCCTGGCACCAAATTCATGTCCTGGTAACCACATTATAGTACACTTGACAATCTCACACAGGTGAGAAATGACTCCAAATCTGACTTTTTCTGTGTCAGCATGTGTTCCTCAGGCCCTGGACTGCTTCCCATAGCATTTATAACATTGCTTTTTATGCTATCCAGCTGAATAGGTGGCAGTGACAGTTTACATCTGATAGGAGATAAAAGGGAAGCATCTGTTTCACGATCCTTCCAGTGATGGCTCTAAACGTGTATTAGGGAAACAAGATGATCTGCAGAGACGATCTAGGGAAGGGCTGCTGATTTCATCTTATCACGGTGATCACAGTGGGAGCTGAGGAGAACCGGGCTCAGAGCACCAGATTTTGGCCTCGCTTGCGGTGAGACCATGGTAAATCCCTTTCTTGCTCTGGGCCTCAGTTTCCTCACCTGTAAAGTGCACCGATCTCTAAGGTGACTTTGAGTTTTCAGGTTCTATGAGTTTTTAAGAAATTATAGACATTTTCAAGCATGTGGGAGGCTAGAAAATAGCATATAATACACCCTCATACTCGTAGCCCAGCTTCATCAATTACCAATATATTGCCGGTCTTGCTTCATCTCCCTCCCCCTTTCCTCTCTTCCAGTGGCTTGTTTTAAAGCAAATCCCAAACATCATATCATCTCATCTCTACATATCTATAAAAGATGGCTTAAAAAAAACCAACCTCAATGCCATTATCACATTTAAAAATTAACAGTAATTCCTTAATATCATGGACTGTGGAACTGAGCTATTTAAAAGTTTTGTTTGATGATGTGGTGAAAGCCAAATGAAAGCTTCTAGTCATAGCATTTTCAGAACTTATGGCCAGAGAACAGTCTTAGAATTGTAATGTTATGCACCAAGTTAAAAAACAGCAACAACAACACACATAAGTCTGAAGAACATAATCTTTTATGTTAATAGTGCCTACATTTAAGGAGAGTCGGCTTGTTCTGTGTCACATGGTCGTGGGTGCTCTGAGTGTACTCTCTCCTTTAATCTCCTTTCATAAACAGGACCCCAGTGCCAAGTACAGTGCTGCAATGTTAGAAAGCTTGTGACCAGAGATGGAGCCTAAGGAAAGAAATAATGAATGGAAAAATGTGTTCAATTTAACCCATCAAATTAAAAATAAATTGAGATTTAATGGAGTAACCCTGCAACAGAAATAGTTTAAGGTCCCTGAGAGAGAGAATTAAAGTGCATTCCCTCAAAATAATGCCTTTTGTGTTGCAGTGGGTCTCCTACCGTATGCTCAACAGTAAACTGAGCCAAGTACAGCTCCCCCTGAGTGTTCCATGAAGCCTTTCCTCTGAGCCTGTGTATTGACAAGGCTATTTCCTCCGCCTAACATGTTCTCTCTGGCTTAACTCTTTAGACCTTCTTCGAGCACCTCCGCCCCCAACTACCTCTTGCCTCCCTGAGCTTTCCTCATTGTTGCCTGCACTGTTCATCTGTCAATCTCGCCCTGTCTAATCACATCCCTGTATTGCTGTCCTGATCTGCTATTTAAATTCCTGCGTGTTTATCTTGTTTCCTTAATGCTGCGGCTCCTTGCCCAGTGCCTGCCAACCACGGGCGTGATGGATTCATCCATTTGTCAAGCCTTCGCCGAGTTCACCAGACTCTGAGCTCAGGGTTCAGCATTCAGGAGTAACTAAGACTTGGCCCCTAGGACTTTGTGCCTAGCAAAATTTCAGGCAGTCTCCAGGCTGCGTACTAGTTCCCAATTTTATAAGCTGGCCGGTATATTGCTGTGCGCTCAGGTTGCATGTAAAAGAAGTCTTTCTTCCTCCAAACATTTCTCAAAAGCAGGCTTAAGAAGTGCCCAATTAAAGAACACTTAGAGAGGGGGTCCTGCTTACGGGCATTAATTGTGACAATTTGCTCTGCTTGAATTTTCATAAAATCATTGGAGGCCCCTTAGCAGGAAGCAAAGCTCACAGGAGGCTATTAACCTTTTTGCATTCTCTAAGCACCGGGAATGAAAATTGAACTTACTGAAGAGCAGGGAGAGGCCGCCTTTATTACAGCTGAAGCACTGTGCCTGGAGGCCTAGAAAGTTGCAGCCAGGCCCAGGGTGGAAGAAAAGTGTACGGCAAGGCAGTGTGGGCACCTCGATCCCAACTGGCTTGCTCTTGTCTGTGTTGACAAACACAATTAAATTGGTGATGAGGACTTTGGCAAAGTCCTGACAAGGCTTTTCTGGAATGGCAGCACAGATCAGCGTCTGCGCTTGTGACGGTCCCCACGGCTGCCTCGCCCTGTGAGTGCTGACTTGGCCACTTTCCAGGAGGGAGGAGTATTTGTTTTTGGTGGTGAGCTAGGGAAGGGGATGATGAAGGGCCGCTTTACTGGGGTGATCGCATTGTCCTCTTTGCGTGAATTATTAATGCGGCCTCTATGATGGGGGGAGGCAAAGGAGAGGGTGGAGCAGGTGGAGTTCAGGCTGCGGGAAATGGGGCCAGGGAGTGAGGGAGGGAGAGTAGCCGAGTGAGAGTAGCTGGTGGGACCCAGACAGGTGCAGAATGTGAATTTTCAGGGCAGGCTTGCTGGTCTGAGGATCAGGCCCCAACATTCTGCATCTCTGCCCCTCGCTTGTCTTGGTTACCCTCAACAAGCCAGTTTTGTTTTGCTTAGGACTGTTAGGTGGTGAGCTGCTACCCTTTCCGGAGAATCCAAACAATATGTATTTATAGTAAAGGCTTTCTAGACTACTGGTCCTTGACCGGGGCAGGCAAGGGCAGGTGCTTTCTGCAGACTTGCATGCCTGGACCCTGCCTGGAACCTGCTGGGTCTGGATCTCCGGGAGCAGGCTCTGGGGCATAGGATGTCGACAGGTGTTTCAGGGGGTTCTGTGGTGCACCCCTGGCTGCAGCCACCAGCCTCGCTCAGGCCCCCTTAGACCAGGTTCTGGGAGGCACATCTCCAGGGAGTTCATTGCCCATCCAGGAGCTCATTCCATCTTTGGCTCTGCTATTGTGCCTTCCACAGAACATGCTAGATCTGTGTGGGTCTTTCAGATGTTGATGTCACTGTCAGGGCTGTGCTCCAGTCTAAACACCCTTGTGGTTTCCTGGTTAAATAGTAAACCAATCTGAAGGGGTCTGAGTTGGGGGCTTGCTAGGAGAGAGGAGAAGAGAAAAATTAAAAAGCAACTCTAGTGTTAGCATAGAAAATGATATGGTAGAATACACATACATTTATACCATTTTTTTTTTCTGATTACAAAAGTATTGCTTGCTCTCTATGAAAATTTGAAAACACTGAAAACCCAAAGAAAACAAAACCACCTCTAATCCCGCCTACCAGATTCAAGCATTGTGAATATTTTTGTGGGCGTCTTTCTCATTAAATGACAGATTTGTACATTTCCTTTTCTCTCACAGTAGCAAGATTATTTTTTGCGTTTCATTAGTATTGATTTATGCCGACATTATTGAAAGCTGCCAAGTATCAGTCCCTGACTGTTGGGACTCAGTGGTGAACAGTCTTCAAGGAACTTTAAATTACTCTTAGCCAAGAAGGACCCGACTGAACTCAGCCTTTCACCACAGTGACTCCCCATGAAACCTGGCCCTGGTTCATGCCTGCTTGTCCAGCTGGCCACCAGGCCAAGTTGGTCTTGGCGACTTTTGTTTTGGTTTGGATCTTGATCTGAAACTGTCCAAGGACTGCCCAAGTCCTACCTGGTTCTGAGACAGCTTTTTGAGCTTGAGGTCCCATAACTTTGTCCTCAATTGAGCATCATCAGCTAATGTGGGAGCTGAAATTTCCTGCAGGGACCAGCTCTTTGGATCTTCCGGCACCAGAATAGTTACAACCTGTGAGGCAGCTCTGAGCTTCTGTGGTTGATGGAGGGAGCGCTGCCCCATGATCTACAACACCTGGGTTTCCCACAGGACACTGCCGCTAATTAGTCCAGGACCTTGGGAAGGGGACCAACTCTGAGCCTCAGTTTTTTCATCTGTGAAATGGAGAAATAACTTTTCTCCAGTCTAACTCATGAAGTTTGAAACAAACCCATGTTACACTTGATAATCGATTTCCCCATATACCCTGGTGAAAAGGTGCTGACTCAAGCCTCTGTTCTCCTAGACAGAGTGGACTCATCGGCTGCATGAGCTTCGGAGTGAGGTCTCTCCTGACTCCAGGCAAGGTGAGTGCTAGGGAAGCTTCTGGCAGGGTCACCCCATGGAGGCGGAGCCAGAGTTGGTTTGTCTAGAAGCCCTTGGGCAGGGCTTCTGTCTGTGAGACGGTGCCCCACTGAGACAGGTGCCCTGTGGCCTGAATAGCAATACTGAATTTGTCATCTGTGTGCCAAGGGTTTGGGTCCGGCTTGGTTCTTTTTTTGTCAGAGAGCAGTTGTTAGGATCCCCCAAGGCCTCCCAGGAGGCTCCGGGACTAGTGTCTGCCGTTGAGGACACTGGCAGGTCCCTTGGAGCTCAGAGCACTCCTGGGACTGCCCTGGAGGAGGAGGGCCACGTACTTCATACTTCGTATGCTCTGCTCCAGGGGCCACCTTGATGTCATCTACCAGGTCTCGTGGTTTTGGCCTAGCAGATGCCCAGGGGTGGAGTGAACATCCTCTGTGGAGCCTTCCTTCTGGCTGGCTGAGGACTCTCTGGGGTCTAGAGTCCCCTGCCCTGGACAGCCAATCCCTATCTGTCTCTACTCTGCACCACACCCCCAAATTGGAAGATTTTGAGCAGGGGAGGGACATGCTCCTTTTGCATATCCCTGGTGATGTCCTGGTGGCCTACCGCATGGAATTGCCAGGTGGCCCTATCACCCAGCTTTGTGTCCTGAAAGTAAAGTCTCAACTAGGTGGCTGAGGACCCTTTATTCTTCATGTGTGTCCCAGATGCCTTGACTGCAGCCTAGGCTTCATTCCCTGTTGGGAGAAGACTTTCTGCCCTGGGGAGTGCTCAGGGGCCTCAGGATGCCCACTTTCTGGCATCTCCATCCCTTCCTCGTTCCCTCCCTTCTATTCTGTCAACATTTATTGGGCTCCTACTGTATACCCGGCACAGTGCTAGGCACATCAAAGAGCCTATGCACAGCTTAGTGGGGGAGGCAAGCATGCAAGGCAACTGTTCTTCAGGGACAAGAGGCTGTGGGAATTCGGCGGAAGAGGGGACCAGCTCTGTCCATAGCATCAGGGAAGGCTTCCTGGAGGTGTAGGCACGGCAGTTCCTTTTGAGGCAGGAAGGCTGGAGTGCCTATCTCTGCAGAGATGCTGCTCGTGAGGGAGGATCTCCAGCTGCTGCTTTTTGAGGGGGATTGGTGGCTACCTGACCTGTGACCTCTGCCTCCTCTGAGCATGTCATGTCTTCTCTTGTGACAGGAGATCAGTGGCTGGTACTACCTTCTGGGGAAGGACTTGGGCCGGACCAAGCACCTGAGGGTGGCCAGGCGGCGACTGCGGCCCCTGATAGGTACATGCACACTACCTTCAGCCTCTACCCACATGTGCTGACGCCCCAGGGCTTTCCCCCCTCCTTCCTTCCTGGGTATTGGCATCAGTGCCTGTGGTTTTCGGCAGCTGTCACTCCAGCTATGATCAGACCATGGGTCCAGGGACTTCTCACGGGCACCTGCTAGAATGTGCCCATGTACTTTTGTTTATCTGGTTGGACTTTCCTTGGAGAGGGTTGTAGACCTGACCCCACATGGTTCAGTCCCATCCCTAGCTCGTGGAGGGATGAGCTTCAGAAGCTTTCTACATGGCCCCTTCCCAGAGTCCATGGTCTCAGCATCCCCTGCAGCTGCCTTGCTCACCTTGGGGACCCACCTCTGTGGACAGAGCATGTGGGCCTGGCTGTGAGTCCCGAGGTTCAGGACTTGGATTTTGCATTTCCTCTGTCTGTCCTTCCCATACACAGTTCTGGCTCCTGAGCCCCTGCCTGACCAGAGCTCAGACATCCCCACAGCCTAGAGGCCAGAAGTAACCTGAGTGGCCACATGGGCTTGGCACCTGGCCTGGTCCTCTGGGTGGTCTGTGGGACAGACCCTTGTATGCCAGCAGAAACTTTCTAATGCTGCTCTGTTGCCTTCCAGATCCACTACTGAGAATGCCAGGAGGTGGGGACACTGAGAACAGGGAAGAACTTAAGGTAGGTGGGGACAGGCCTGGGCAAGATTCATGGGACCTGCACACTGTTAGGAGCTCTAACCTACTCCTGGTCAGTCGCTTGGCCCAGGAGACCCCTAGACAAGGCAGTACTTGGTGCCTGAGACTCAGGTTCACTTGGTGCTTGGAAACTCAGCAGGTTGTGCATTTTTAAGGGATTATTTCTTAAGCTTTTCTCGGTTACTCATGCTCAGGGAGGGGCTATACCAAGTTACCACTACCAGCTCCATCCTACCCGGCTATGTGACCTTGACCGTCTATGCCTCTACTTCTTCAAGGGTAAAATGAGGAGGCTGGATCATCTGGTGATTGGAAATCCCTTTCCAATTTGCCTTTATGGGCTAATCAGATCTGAAATCATCCCATTTACATGGGTGAGGAAACTGACTTTTAAGTAGCTGCTGAGTGGCAGGCAGGTCCTTAGACTCCAAATGTTTCATATTCCTTGTCGTGAGATGGTTTCTGTGAGCATGCTTGGGTTCCTTAGGCTGGGTTGGTCCCCTGGATTTGCTATGGGGACCCAGGGATTTGCAGGGGAGGCAGCCTTGTTACAGAGTGGGCCGTGTTTTCTGCCTGGGCTCTCCTGTGGCCAGGGGTGTTTGTGAGAACATTGGAATCACAAAGTGGCCCATGGCGGAGAATGCAGCCAGAACAAAGGCGCCCTCTCCCCGCTGGGCCCGGGGAATACTAACTAGTTGACAGGAATTTTAATATAAAACTCTCCCTCTTCCTTGTCATTCTGAGGTTTCAGGAAGCCTTCGGCCTTATCGTGCTGAGGCACACAGCACAGACAGGGCTTGGGGAGGTGAGAGGTGATTTCCTGCCATTCTTCTGCGGGGCGGGCTTCCCAGGGCGGTCATGCCAGGCTGACGGGGCGCAGTGCGGGCTCCCGCTGCTGGGGGGGAGAGCTGGGTTTTCATGGGGCGGCAGCCGAGGCAGGACCCGCAGCCATGAACCGCTTCAATGGGCTCTGCAAGGTGTGCTCGGAGCGCCGCTACCGCCAGGTGGGTGCTTAGCTCTTTGGGGGCTGCATGGGGTGACGCTGGGGGTCAGGGTTGGGGGTTTACCCTAGCAGGACTTCTCTTCTCGCAAGGCCTTTCTTGTCCCCTCCTGTGCGTTGCAGGTTCATTTTGATCCAGGGAGAGGACAGAGGCAGGAGCTGGACCTGAGATCCAGCCTTTACCCACTGCCCCTCTCTAGGGGCAGATGATGCCCAGCTCTGCATTGTTCTAATCACTGGCTGGGTGGTGCCCCCTGTGAGATTACTTATTGATTTTCTCTTATATTTATTTTGCGGGAGTGTGGGTTAAAAAAGCATCCCAAGCCTGAGAATGGCAATGGCTAGGTTGCTGAGCAGCTGGGGCTTTTGCTAACTTTCCCTACTTCCGATGGGACAGCAGTGCCTGTCCTGCATTGTGTGTGTGCGTTATTGGGCAACTGTTTCTGCCTGCGTTGGTGTGTGCTTGTATGTGAGATAGGATGTTTCTTTTTATATGTACACATATGATTTTTCTTGTACATGACCACCCATGGATATATATGCACACATGATTTTCCTTCCCAGTGACACCGAATCGTCTGGCTGTGGAGCCCAAGTTCACTGAGAGGGTCTGGCCACTTAGCCTCCGGTCTTAGGATGCAGGCAGAGTGGGAGTGATGGTCCAATAGTCTCTGAGCCTCTTCTGGAAAACTGTGATGGACATTTTTTCTTATAAAAAGGCCATGGGGTCAGCGAGGGTGAAGGCAAGGGCTGTCTAGATTTGGAAATGTCCTAGCTGAAAGGGAGCTAAGAAATGGTTCTGATTTTGTAACTATAGAAAAGTCCCTCTGTGTGTTTTAACTACCAGATTGGAATCTGGGTCTTGACTCCTTCGGACAGGCAGCCTTAGGTCCGAGGGCGATGCCCAGAGAGGCCCCCTGCCCTGAGGCGCCGCAGCTAGGGAACCCACATGTTCCCCTTTAGTCCTCTCACCCTGCACGGCCCCACCTGCCCTCCTGCCCTCCTGCCCTCCTGGAGCCAGGCAGAGCAGCGCCTCCACACCAGCATCTGGGTGGCAGGGTGGTGAGGCCGAGAAGGCCCTGGATGGGAGGCCGAGAAGTCCTTGGTCACCTTGGGACTACCGGCACGTTGCAGTCAGAATGGTGCCAGGCATGAGTGTGGGCTGTGCCTGGGGCTCTGGGGCTCAAGTTCAAGACAGTCCTATGCTAGTAACCAGAGCAGTGTTGAGAGCACCCGCTTTCTGTCAGACCCGGGCTCAAATCCAGCTCTGCCTTTCTTCAGCTGTGGCTGGAGCACATCACGTTTCTTCCCTGAGCCTCAGTCTCCCCGTCAGTGGAAAGGGATGAGAAGGCCCTGTGATGATGCTGGGAGAATAGTGGACTGTCGCGCATACAGTGCCAGCCACGGCACCTGGTCCATTCAGTGAATGGTGGCAGTTGGTGATGGAAGCCTAGGCGTGGGGGAGGACCAGACACAGGCAGGGGGGCAGAAGCGAGGTGAGATCCAGGAGCAGTGGCAGCTCCTGCCTTGGACGGGAAAGAGCAAGGACCACCCCCAGGAAGGACAGCCTCTGCCAGGAGCACCGAGGTCCCGGAGGCAGGGCAGGGCTGCTCTCCTCACCTCCTGACCCTGAGGCCCGAGGTCAGAGAGGGCAGGTCACCACTTACTCACTTTCTTTCTCTTTAGAATGGGCGCACTAAGCCCTCCCTGCATTCCACTCAGGGCTGCACTGATGATCAGGTGCTTGGACCCGTCTTCTCAAGGTGGCCTGCGCTCACGATGGCTGGAGAGGAATTCTGTTTCCTTCACTCGGCCCCACCCCCTTGCTCCCTGATACCCTGTCCTGTTGCCGTCCTTGCCCACCCCAGCTGGTTTGGACTGTTGTCCTGGCTGGCTCTTCTTAGGCTGGTGCTGAGGAAGGCAGGAGCTCCGGTCCACAGGGCCACCTGGATGAGGGGACCAGGGTGTGGCTGTGGGAGGCTGTTTTGCTGGAGCACATGGTTCAACTGCAGATTCAACTCTGGGGCCAGTCCCCAAACTGTCAGCACCGCGCCCACAGGTGCTAGGACCGATTTCCAGAGCCTGCACCTAGGCCAGAGGGCTGAGGCCCTTGTGGGTAGGACTGGGGAGGGCTGGCAAGACTTTAGAATCCCAGCTTCTGCTTGGGTTGGAGGTGAATCGTCAGGCCCCTAACATCCCCGGTCGTATAGAGTGGACGAGGCTCCTGACAGCCTCCCTCAGCCTCAGCCTGGGCTTTCCGCACTTACTCCAGGGTTTGTTTTTCTTTCTTTCTTTCCATTTTTTCCCCTTCCTGTCTTAGCTGTGTGTTTTCCCAGAATTCTTATGGGAACAGGGGATTTTCCTGCCCCCCTCCCCCTTCCCCTTGTCTGTCAGATTTCCTGTTTTACAAACTCACTTTGAATCCAGGCCCAGGGCTGGTGGGAAGCAGAGCCTCAGGGGCCTCCCGGCAGCTTCCAAGGGCCTTGGTCACCCTGGGCCCCCTGGCCCTACCCTTCCTCATGCCTGGCCTTCGGGCCAGCTGGCTGGCCGGTGAATGCCCGGTACCTAGCCTTGAAGAGACAACCTCCAAAGGAAGGAGACAGAATCTCCTGACAAGCGGGTGGCCCTTGACCTTTTCCAGGCTTACTGAGCTGGCTTCTTTCCCAGCCTGCCTGGGATACCCTCCCTGTGCCTCACCAGGGCCCACTCCACGTCCACTTCCGTGGGTCTCTTGGGACCTCACTGAACCTCTTTTCTGTTGCTTTCATGCACCTGCTCCCAGCAGCTTGGAGTTGCTTTTTGGCTGGGCTGGGCCTTCTACACTCCACCCAAATCCTAATTAGGGGTGCACAGAGGGGGAGCACAGCAAGACTGAACTGCACTGAGTCAGCAGACTGCATTGCACCCCCACAGCTTCCCGCTGCCAGTGGGCTACTGCTGGGCTGTCCTCATTAACTTAGCACTTGCTGAGCTCCTGCGGTGCACGAAACCACGCACAAAGGACTGTTCCCAACACTGTCTCCATGTTTTGCTGCAATGCGTGTCAGGTCCTGCTTTGCTTTGGAAAGAACCATGCACCCTCATGCCTCTCTGGGAGCCAGAAGCCCAGCCAGGCTTCATGCTTCCGAGCCTCAGCAGAGCCTGGCATGCAACAGGAACTCAATCACTGCCTTGTAAAGAGCTTCCAGATGGCACAGCCCTTTCAGGGGACTTCTGAAAGGAGGGGTTGTGCAGCTCCATGCACACAGGCCTCAGCAGGCACAGTGAGGTCAGTGGCCAGTTCAGGTTCAGCGGGGAGGCCTGACTGTGTCCTCGCCTGCCCTCTCCTCTGGGAGCCCTCGTTGGATGCCTTGAGGTTCTGGCAATGGAATGCCCTGAGAACCCCAGCACTTGCCCTGTGACTTGTGACTTGAGGTTGTGAATGTGTGTGTCCCTGTCTTCCCTCTCCTGTCCTCTGGGAAGGCAGCAACCAGATCGGCTTTATCTCTGAGCCCTCATCCCAGGGCCAGCCCTGGGCCAATGGTCTGTGAACTCCTGGGGAAAAGGGAGAAAGGGACCAAGCAGGAGTGGACCACTGGCCAAGAGGAGACGTGCAGGTCCAGTGCGCTCTTCGCTAAAAGGCTGCATGTCAGTTGGGGCTGAGGAAAGTGAGGTTTGCCCTTCCAAGGCGTTCTCCATCCCAGCCTCCCATTGGCCTGGGTTTTCCTCCTGAGCTCCCAGCCTTCTTGCTTGGCCCATAACCCAGTGGTCAAGATGCCTGGGCCGGGACAGGGATGGCGAGGGGCTGGTCAGCCTCCTTTTTGGCTCCGGTTCCCTTGGAGAGGAGGGTGGCTCTGGGATGGGGCCTGTGGGCTTCCCGACCTTGGATCGGCCCCTGGGAGTAACTGGGCCAGGCTGTGTCCTAGATCACCATCCCGAGGGGAAAGGACGGCTTCGGCTTCACCATCTGCTGTGACTCTCCGGTTCGAGTCCAGGCTGTGGATTCTGGTGAGTGTCTTGGGTGATGCCAGCCCCATTTGCCCACCACACATGTGGGCTTTGCAGACAAGACCTTGGAATGTAAGGGGAGCCCCAAAGTGGAGTAAAGTGTGTCCTCGTTTTTCAGAAGGAAAAGAATAATATTTTTAAATGACCACAGATAAAATAGACGTCTGTGAAAACATACCCACTCTTTTTTTTTTTTTTAATCAAAATGAAAATATATTTTTATATTTTGTTTCCCAAGCATTTTAAACTGGAACTAAACTCATATTTTCAATAGTGGTTGCATGGGAAAATGAGTCTTCTGAACTCTGTTTGGAATCGGTATTTTATCCTATTCCAAGCCTGATTAGCACTTAAACATAGGCTCTCCCTCCCTATTTTCATAAAGAAAAGATTTCTCCTAATCACAGAGTGAGCATCTTAGGACGAGAAGCCAGGGCTCAGTGATCTGCATGGGCTCCAGTGCCTGCAGGGGGATGGGCACGAGGTTGGCACTCAATGAATGGTGCTGAGGGAATGAATGAAGTGTGTGAGCCTGGCAATAAGGAAGGGTTCTCAGTGGGGTGGGAGGCCCTGGGGAGGTGGGAGGGACTGGCTGGAAGGGTAGACAGCGGAGAAGTGTGAATAGGCAAAGTGTGTGTTCCTTTCAGGTCCCTGGGAGCCACCAAGATCAGCCCCTTATTTCACAGATAAAGAAACAGACAGGGGCAGTCCTCGTCCTAGGTCACTGGGGAAGCAAAGGATGGGCTTGAGTGTCTTGTCTTTGTCCCTGCAGGGGGCCCGGCAGAGAGGGCAGGGCTGCAGCAGCTGGACACTGTGCTACAGTTGAACGAGAGGCCCGTGGAGCACTGGAAATGCGTGGAGCTGGCCCACGAGATCCGGTGAGAGGGGCTGGGGCAGCCCAAGGCCCCAGGCTGATGGCACATCTCCCCTCCCCAGCCCTGGGCACCGGCCTTAGCCTTCCCTCCTCTGCCCAGCTGTCAGCAATTCACTCTGCACCTCAGGGAAGCAGTTTCTCAGCCTGCAAATGGAAGGTTAGGCTCAAGAGCAAAGAGCAGGGAAGAAGCTCTCCAACAAAGCCTGTGGTTCCTGATGCGGCTCCAAGGGACGGCTTTCTACTTTAGCTCCTTATTTCTGCTACCTCAGAGCTCAGCCCATTGTTTTAAAAGGATGTGGCGATGTTGCGAGTGTGCCAGTGACCCAATTAAAAATATTCTTTGAAATGTTTGGGTCCTCTAAATTGTGACCTGCCGGGGCAGAACCCTCATGGCCCATCGCAGGTCTGCTTCTAGATGGCTGGATGTGGGGACGCATGTGGTGGTTTGCCTGCTCCTCCTGGCTTGTACTTTGGCCACAACAGGCGTCACTAATTGAGTTTAGTACTCTCTCTTGTTTAACCTGGCCTTGGCCTCAGCATCCTTCTCAGGCTCTGCCAGTCCATTAGAGTTGTCCTAAGGGACCCCTGTGCTGTCTCTGTTTTACATGGTCTCTGATCTCCCTTCCTGCTCTGACATTAGGGGCTTCTCCCCACCCCCTACTCCTCTCTGCCCCTGCAGGCCCCTGCCCCCCCGCTGACTTTGGTCTCCCCCAGACTCAGCTTCTCTGTGTGATCCCCCCGCTTTTTCCAGGAGCTGCCCCAGTGAGATCATCCTACTGGTGTGGCGCATGGTCCCCCAAGTCAAGCCAGGACCCGATGGAGGGGTCCTGCGGCGGGCGTCCTGCAAATCGACACATGATTTCCTGTCACCCCCCAACAAGCGGGAGAAGAACTGCACCCATGGGGCCCAGGCTCGGCCTGAGCAGCGCCACAGCTGCCATCTGGTATGTGACAGCTCAGATGGGCTGCTGCTCGGAGGCTGGGAGCGCTACGCCGAGGTGGCCAAGCGCGGGGGCCAGCACACCCTGCCTGCGCTGTCCCGGGCCACTGCCCCCACCGACCCCAACTACATCATCCTGGCCCCGCTGAACCCTGGGAGCCAGGTATGAACAGCTGGCTCGGGAAGGTGAAGGGCATGGGTCCCTGCGTGAGGCCAGGAAAAGGCTCAAAATTACATGGGGAGGAGCCTGCAAGGGGATGGGAGTGCTGAGCAAGGAGGCGGGGTGTGCATTAGCTCTGTTGCTGCAGGGCTTGTCCTGGGTGGAGAGAGCAGGTGGATCTTTGTGGCCTTAGGGCACAGACCCAGAACCAGGGGGTGTCACAAAGTAGAAGAGTGCACCTGAAAAGAAGGAAGAGTTTTGTGCCAGTCTGCACTTTTCCACAATGCAGTGGGCTGCTGTGTGTAGTAGCGAGTCCCCTGTCATAGGAGGCATGAAAGCAGACACTGCATGGCGTGGTAGGGTGATGGAGTGCATGCCCCAAGACATTAATCCCATGAAATACTCTTGGGGGAAAGAGTGTTCTGAGGTCAAATAAGTTTGAGAAATATCCCAAAGCATATTAGCCTATTTGAGGCTCTGAGGGTACCCCACTGTGGAGACGGTGGATAAACCTTGTTTAACTCAGCATTTCCCAGACCCCCTTGAGTGTGCACCCTGTGGCAGGGTTGTTAGCATCCCACGGTGCCAATGTTCCATGGAATGCTCTTTGGAACAAGCTGCCATCAAGGAAGTTGGGGACTTGGCCAAGGGATTAGACTCGTTGACAGCTATAGCCTTGTTCGACTTTAATATTCTGGAGGATTCTGGCTTCCTTCCAAGCCCCCTCTCAGCTTGGTAGCAGGACTGCTGTTTTCCCTCATGTCCTGAGGTGCTCCCTTCCCATCCCCAGGTTGGGTGAGCAGACTATGGGTTGTCCTGCCCCGTGCCTGGGGCTGAGGTGGCTCTCCTGTCTTTGCTTTGCAGCTGCTGCGGCCTGTGTACCAGGAGGATGCCATCCCTGAAGGTGAGTTGGACCTCGGCTGCTGTGCCCTCTGAGCCCTTGGGAGATTTCGAGGTCAGCTGGGAGGCCAAGCCTAGCCCCCTCCTCTGAGGTTGGAGGCCTTCTCAACAGAGTCAAGATCCCCCCCGCATGTTCACACAGACTCTGTTTCCTCTTGGTGCGTTTTTTCTCCCACATAGAACCCTGGTGTCCTCCTGCCTTGGCGCCCGCCTAAGGAGGAAGAGAGGGGATCTTACCAGAGTGTCTAATGGGTGGTGTTTAGGACTCAGGCATTCAATTGAGATTCATCCAGTCACTGAGCAACCAATATATGTTAGGTGCTGTAGGCAACACAGTCAGGTCTGCATGGAAGGGAGGCATGGAATATGGAGCTAGGAGGTCTCGAGTTGGAGTTCTAGCCTTGTGATCAACTCATGTCCCTCACTGAGCCTCAGTTTCTTTATCTATAAAATGGGGCTGATAATTCCCACCTCAGAGGGTTGTGGGAGGATTAAAGAAGATAGTGGTTGTGGGTAGTAGCCTGTATACCAAGAGATGCTACACAGAGCGCAGTTGTCTTTGAAATGCACAGGCATCTCCCGTGGCCTTCAAACCCTGGCCCTATTTTTTAGGAGCCAGGGAGAGAAGCTGGGCTCAAAATCAATTCCTTCTCTTAGGAAGCCCGAGGTATCAGTCTCACTGCTGGAGCTGGCTGGGCATTCCTTCAGGCCCCCTGTGCGCCTGCTGGGGACCTCTGACTCGAGTAGCTGGAGGGTTGAGACCAACCTTGCCAGCTGGTTCGCTATGCCTACCTTGGGTATGCCTGAGCCCTCCCTCTAGTGCCTGCAGAATGCCCTTTGACCTCCTTCCTTGAGAGTGGCCTTTTCCCAGCCACTTGCACCCGTGTCCTTGCATCTCCCTCTTGTCAGTAGTGTGGAGGTGATGCTTGCTCAGAGTGGGGACTTGGAAGAATGCCTGTGCCTTTTCAGGGGAAAGGGCTCCCATCAGGCTCATTGCTGCTCACGGAAGACACCTCCATTCTCTCCAGGCTGGGACACTTGGGCACTTGGGCTGTTCTGTCGGAAATGAATCTGTATTCCTTCTGAAGAGGAGTTCCTTCTGGATAGTGATTCAACACTGAGTTTTTAAAAAGCTTTTAGTTGGTACTTTTGGTTAGAGTGGAGATGCTGCTGCTAAATGGTGACTTCATTAAGGGCAGGGCCTGGGCCGGCTCATTGGAGAGCTGCACCCACTTGTCACACATTATCCAGGGGTGTGTAGAGATGGGGCTCGAGGGCATGACTGCCAAATAGGTTGGGTTGATCCTGCCATGTACCATTTACTGGCCACATGACCTTGGGCAAGTCACTCAACCACCCCAGGCCTCAGTAGCCTTTTCTGTAAAATAGAGCTGAGCAGACCTTTTCCACCTGAAGGCAGAGGTGTGTGTCAAAGGGCTTACTGATGACTCTCCAAGCCCAAGGCACAGATTCTGTGGCCATGCTCTGCTGCTGGGCTAGGAAGGGAAGAGATGCATTCTTTTAAAAGTCCGAGACTAAGGGGGCCTGGGGCCAGGATTTTGGCATCAGCAAAAGGTACCCTTCTTTAATTTTGGTCTGTTTTGCCTCAGGCCCCTGCTTGTCAGTCCTGTATGGCTTTGCCTTCTCTGGTCCAGGCTTGCCTGTGTGGAGTTAGACTGTCCAGTTCCAGGCTGACCCTGTGACCCCGATCACAGTATGGTTTGAGGCCCAGCAGTCCTGTCCTATGCCAGCCCTGATGGGTGGATTATTTGTTGGCTGGGGGTTTGTAATAGCCCCTCGTGCACTCACACTCCGGTACCATTCACCAAGCCCTTCCCCATTGGGTTTGGCTCGATTGGCCTTGGGACGGACAGGCAAGCCAGCAGTCTGTATAACGTCCACTTTGCAGTGGAGATAACATTGACTCAGAGGGGAAGGAACCTCAGAGAAGGGGCTCTGGGGAAGCCAGTGCTCAAATTCAGGTGTCTTGTCCAACTCAAATCCTGAGAGACACAGGATGGTTTCTTTTTTAAATTTTATTTTTTAAATTTTTTAATTACAGTTTACATTCAATATTATGCTAGTTTTAGGTGTATAGCACAGTGGTCAGACACTTATATAACTTACAAAGTGATTCCCCTGGTAAGTCTAGTACAGGTTGGGTTCTTTCAGCAAAGGAGCCAGGGCCTTGCCCACGGACCCACCCTGGGGCTGATGCCAGTCAGGGCCAGATGAGGAGTGTGTAAGTGCGTCCGTGCATGTCTGTACGCCCCTCCGCCCTACCCCCGCCCTGGACTCAGGCTCTTTCTGCTCCTCTCTAAGTGCCTCCTCAAAGAGGCAGGAAGTGGTTTAAACGATTTTAAGATTATGGTTTGAGTGCTACCCCAAGATACAGTGGGGATAGGTGGTCACTTGTGGGGGGTGTCAAGTTGTTTTTCTCACCTCACTTGGTGAGAAGGAGCTTGATGTGGGTGTAGAAAGCAAGTGTGAAACATTCTGAGCTGAGTTTTTCCTCTAAGGCCGTGGACCTCGCGTTGGTGGGGAGCTTCCCCAGATGTAGCTGGGGTCAGACCACCTGTTCACTCCCTGGCTTCCAAGACTGGGGGTGGCAGAAGGAGGCCTCGACCCCGGGACATGCAGGTCAGGGAGGGCTGGTCAGCAGAAATCCTCAGAGAGGCCAGGGATGCATGGAGCCTGAATGCTCTAGAGTTTGCCTCCTACCTGCTTGCATCCAAGAATCTCTGACATTTTAGGTACTCTGTGTTTTGCCCCTCTGCCCATTGGATGGGACAGGACGTGATAAAGTCCTGCAGGCCACCCCTGTTCAGGGTGAGGGCGTGTGTCCAAAAGTGACCTTTTAAAGAGGAACCCCCTGCTGTCTTCTGTTCTCTTCCCGGGGGTATCTCCCACCCCGTCTTTCTCTCCTTTTTTTGATTAGAATAACTTGTGCGTTGGTGGCCAAGCCAGGAGGACCTCCTGGCTGTGATAAAGCCCAGGATTCCCAGAGTCCACGAGGCGCCTGATAAACTTGCCTTTCCGTGTGGAGGAATCACAACCACAGCAATCACGATAGTTAGCAGCTAACTTTTACTGCGCACATATAGGTCCCAGGCCTTGTTCTAGGGGCTTTACTTGGGTATCTCATTTAATCCTCACAGCAGCCCAGTGAGCCTGGTGCTGTTATAGTTGAGGCAGCCAAGGCTCTGAGGGGGATGTGAGCTGCCAAAGGTCACCAAGCTAGTAAGCAGAGGAGTGGGGTTTGGGCACAGCCACCTGGCTTCAGGCTGGTGCTCTTCCCTGAGAGCTGGAGTAGCAGGTGCCACTCCTCACTGTAGACTGACTTCAGTGACCCTGGCTGCTCCAGCTCCCTTGACTAAGAGAAGGCAGCCCCCAATACATCCTGGGCAAGCCCACTGTCTCTGCTACCACCACAGAGACTGGATCTCCACATGCTTGGTTCGTGGGACCTGGGAGGCAATGGAATGGGAGAGTTGCGCTGGGTATGTGCAGGGAGTGTTGCGAGTGGTGGAAAGCGGAGAGCATTGCTCTGCCCCAAGTGATTGTTCCAGGTGGGACTGTGGGCCTGGAGAGGTCAGAGCTTCTGGTTTTTCAAATATGAGCGATTTCCTGATTTTTATAAGTACGAGGCCAAACTGATAGGTCTGATTTGGGCCCTGGGTCTCCAGATGGGGTCTGCCTCCCCAAAGAGTTGATGGACCCTCCATCACAGTTGGTGGTTCCCAGCTCCGTCCTAGCCATGGGGCTGCTCATTTACATGTCAGTGTCTCTCATAGATTGTGAGGGAATTCCTTGAGGTTCAAGGCCCTTCTGAGGCCTCCCTATCTTGTGCAGGGCCTGGCACATAGCAGATGCTCACAGCAAATGGCTGTTGACTGAGTTTGTTCCCTGTTTCTGCAGAGGGGATGCCTTGCAGGGGTAATAGAAATGCCTCACGGTCCCCCATCTCTGTTCTGCAGAATCAGGGAGTCCCAGTAAAGGGAAGTCCTATACAGGCCTGGGGAAGAAGTCGCGGCTGATGAAGACGGTGCAGACCATGAAGGGCCACGGGAACTACCAGAACTGCTCAGTCATGAGGCCACACCCCCCACACTCGAGCTATGGCACCTATGTCACTCTAGCTCCCAAGGTCCTGGTCTTCCCTGTCTTTGTTCAGGTGAGCTGGTGGCTGGCCCCAAGCACTCCCTCAGGGGAAGGTAAGAAAGAGGAGGGTCCTTTACCCCAGGGCTCAGGGATGGTGCCTCATTCCAGGACTGGGGGCCTCACTTTAGGGAAAGACAAATAGCTTCAGGTGCTCAGGATTCTGGGGGCTATACTGAAGGAGCACAGGTCTCTAAGAGGCGGAACAGGAGGGTGGGGGCAGGGGAGCCCAGCAACAAGGGGGTCCCTTCCCTGCTTCCCCCCAGCCTCCCCTTTCTCTGGGGCCAGGCCAGGCACACCCAGCTGCTTGATGTGTGGTCACAGCGCCTGTGTACTGAGGCTTCTGCTTCCTGGCCCATCCAGTGGTTCGTCGTTTGGAAGTGACCATGGCAGTGCCTCGAGGTCTGGCATCTTGTCCGGTCTCTTCGCTCTAAGCAAACGTCTGGTCTAGTAGCTGGCGGCCTGAGATCCCCATAAATCTCCCTTCTCCTACTTTCCTCTCTTCTTCCCTCTCTTCCTCCCCATTTCCAAATCTTTTTTATTTCACCACCAGGATATAACCAGTGTGAGCATTTAGGTGTCTTTTCTGTGTGCATATGCACATTAAAAAAAGACCCAAACAGGCATTATTGTACATTTGATATCCTGCTGACTTTTTAAAATGAGAATTGCATGAACATTTCCCACATCATTAAATACTTTTTGGGCCTGTGTTTGTAGTGGTTGCACGCTGTTCTATTATATGGATGTGCCGTATTTATTTAACCAGTTCCCTATTCAGACACTTATGTCTGCTTCTTTTGCTATTGTAAATAACCCTGTGATGAAAATCCTTGTATATGAATTGCTTCTCTGATTATTTTCCTTGGAAGAGATTCTTAGAAGTGAAATGACTGAGTCATAGATCATAAACATTTAAAGGCTCTTTATACATATTGACAAATTGCTGTTCATAAAGACTTGATTAGTTTATTGTCTCATCAGCAGCATAGAGGTGACAATGTCCCAAGGGCTTCATTTCTGACCATTACTTCCTTCTCTGGTCTTCCCAGCATCTGATTCTAGGCCTGTCACATCTAGTGGATCCTAGATACACTTCTTAGGGCACCACGCACCTCTGGCAGGTGACACATCTCCCAGACAGCTCCATCGGTAGGACGCTTGCCCTTTGCCTTTCTCTTGGCTTCTTCTGTTTCTTGGGGTGTAACCGCAAAGGTCTTGGCATCCACCAGGATTATTTTTGGTTTTCATTTTTTAATTTTTCCAAAAAAGCTAAAGTGAGTTTTTAAAAAGTTATAAACATTTTTAAATGATAAAATATATAAACCAAAAAATGGCACAACAGTTAAATGTGCAGTTTAACAAATAATTATAAAGCGGCTATGCACTAAGATGAAGGAATCGGCCAGTGCCACCAGGCCAGAGGCGACGTTTATCTCTCCTTGACCGGAACGCCCTCCTCCCAGCAGACGTACCCGCTGGCCTGACGCTATGACAGTGATTTCCGTGCTTCTCTTTAGTTCTACCATCTCTGCGTGCTTTCCTAAATAACACATTTGGCTTGGCCTCTTTTTGAATGTTATTTAATGAAACCATTCTGCATGTGTTCTCTTGGGCCCTGCTTACTTTGCTTCACATGATTTGTGAGATTTATCCATGTTGCTGTGTGTAGTTGACATTTGTTTCATTACCTTTCCCCCAGCACCTTGCTTGGGGCCAGGTGCCTGGAGGCCGTGTTATAAATATGCAGTCGTGAGGATGAGTCCTGTGGGGTAGTCCAGAGCTTCGGGAGCTTTCCCTGGGGTGGGCAGGGCATGGGGCAGAGTGGTGGTGTAGGGTGAGAGGTTTGGGTGAGAGTTGGTCCCTGGGAACTGATGCCTGAGAAGGAGGCAGTGAACTTCAGTGTGTCATGAATGTAGAGCAGGGACTGGCCTGGCTTTGAAGGGACTCAAGTGACCAAATCTGGCCCCGTTTGGTATCCTGAGAGCCCGGACCTCACAGCAGGGACCATCCCACGAGGCATGAGCAGGACAGATGGGGGCGTGTGGGGCCTGGGAAGTCCCAGGAGCCCAGCGGTGGAGGGGCGGGGGTGGGAGGCCTGCAGCACGTGGTTGGACTTCCTGCCGAGAGCGCAGCGCTCGCGGTGAGGGTGGCGGTGAAGGTGGCAGCAGCAGTTCCGCTGGGGACCAGACCATTTGTCTTTCTGTTTCCATCTGTGTGTGAGGGGGCGTGTGGGCTCTCAGGGAGCGGGGAGGGCTGGCAGACTTTTCCGTGTCTGGCTTTGTCAAGCTGTCTTTCTTCCCCCCACCAACCATCTCCATCAGGCCCCTTTGAACTGCCCACTTTGTTTTCAGCCTTTAGATCTTTGTAACCCTGCCCGGACCCTCCTGTTGTCAGAGGAGCTGCTGCTGTACGAGGGAAGGAACAAGGCTGCTGAGGTAAGCCTGACACGTGCCCTTCCCGGTGGGGTGTCCTGGTGGGCTTCCTGGGCCATCCTCCAGGCCCCTAACTTCTCTCGCTTCCTGATGGTCTTAGGATTGTGCTATCTCAGGGCAGAACAAATCTGAAAAGTCCTCCATCTCCCTCCACGCCCTCCTTACCAAATGGTGACCCAGCTTTTTCTTGGACATTTCCAGCAGTAAGGAACTCACTACCTTTCAAAGCTGTTTAGTCCATCTTTGGTGGTTAGAAAGTTTGCCCAGCCCCTGAAGACATCCCATGGTCCTAACTTCCTCTAAGAAGTGGAAGAGATGGCCATCCCTCCCAGCTGTGATGAGTGCCTCTGTAGGTGAGAAGATGAAAGCTGTTAGCCCAAGGGAATTTTTAGAGGAGCATCAGTTATGCAGGTTTTGTGGGTCTGTATTAACCCAAATCCCAAATCCTCTTCGAAGGGATAAGTCTGAAATTTCTCCTGGGCTTTAGCTCAGAGGCCAGGGTGTGGAGATCAGGCCACTCTTCCTGGGGAGCTGGCCCCTGCTGATGTTTGACCCAGGGAATTTCACTCACCCACACAATCCCCAGAGCCAGCCAGGCTCCAGCTCGGTCCTGTGAGCTTAAACCTACCTGGGCATAGAGGTCAGAGCCCTGGGATCTTCAAGGCTACCTGGGGGCTCACTCATGACTTCTGCCTGCCTCCTCAGTCTTCTCATCTCAACAGTGTGTGTGTGTGTGTGTGTGTGTGTGTGTGTGTGTGTGTGTGTGTGTGTGTGTGTGTGTGTGTGT